TATCAGAAGGAGGAGAGAGAGAGAGAGAGAGAGAGAGAGAGAGAGAGAGAGAGAGAAGGACTGAAAATCTCTTTGAAGAAATAATGGCTGAAAACTTTCCTAACCTGGTGAAGAGAATAGATATACACATACACATCCAGGAAACACAGAGAGTCCTAACTTGTCTCTTATGTTTCTCTTTCCCTCCATATTTCCCTTCTTTTAAATTACTAAACATTGATGCATAAGAGATGGAGAACAAATGAGGTGAGCCCTCTAGCTGCCCAATTTACTTCCTGTAGAGTGTTCTAGCCATGGGACAGAAAATGGAACTCGTGCAGATGCTTGTGGCCTTCTTAAATTGAGAAGACAGAGCAGGGAGTTCAAAGAGATAGCTAGCCATCACAGAGAAGGGTACCAGTGAGGAGAAAGATGCACACAGAAAGAGCTGAGATCTGTGTCACTAAATTTTTGGCTGAAAACCATCAGCTGCTTATATTTCTCGTGCCCAGGGGCACAATTCCTTAGTCTGAGTGGCACACTTCTGTATCTACTACAATAAAGTTACCCCCCTGAGTCTCAGTTTTATCATCTATTACATATTACTCATCTTCTGAGTTATTGTAAGATCTAATGAATATGCAAAAGAGCTTAGAAAATTATAAAATATTCATCATTGCATTATTATGACAATGGCTTAAATTACACAACACACTTTATTATATGAATCTAATAGTTTCAGAACTGGGTGGTCACTTCCTTGTATGACTTATCTGTTGTTTATTCAACTTTTATTGAATAATCTCTGTGAACAGAAAATAGTCCCAAGGCTATAGAGAGAAAATATTGCATTTACAGCATTTGCCTTCAAACAAAGTACCATAATGCAAACAAATATACATAGAAAGAAACTTTAATCAAAACATGAATTGAGACTTCCGGTCAAGATGGCGGCGTAGGTAAATGTGGTTTCGCGTCCTCCCACAATGACATCAAAATTACAGCTAAATTATAGAACAACCATCACTCAAAACTGCCTGAAATTGAGCTGAATGGAAGTCCTACAACTATGAAATTAAAGAAGCCACATCAAGACTGGTAGGAGAGGCCGAGGCACAGACGGGTTGGTCCCACACCCAGGTGTGATGGATAAAAATCAGGAGGGACACCTCAGCTGTGAAGATGCTCCCTGAGGAGTGAGGGTTCCCTGTCCCACACCAGGCACCCAGCTCAGGGTTCCAGTGCCAGGAAGAGAAGTCCCCTTCAGTTCTGGGTGTAAACACCAGCAGGAACCGTGGCTGAGGGACACTCTGGCTGAGGGAGCCCCAGGCAGCTCCTCTTAAAGTGGCCGCACATGGACTTACTCGGACTTGCTCCCTCTGAGCTCCAGTGTGGCTGAGGAAGCTCAAAAAGCACCAGAGACATAAGGGGAAAAACTGAGCTGTTTGGCATTGGGTCGAGGGCTGGAGAGGCAGCTTTCTCTTGGACAAACGTGCTGTCAGAGGCTTTTAAAAGGTTCCTTTGGTGTGCCTTTCCCCCATGAGGCTGGCAGACAGCAGCCATATCTGGGACTACAGCAACCTGGCTCACACTATTTTCCCTGCCCTGGTGATTCCATGAGGCCCTGCCCCACCCAACTTTCAGGCCCACCCAAGCTGTTGCCAGTTGCTTTACCATAGAAATGGCCTGTCTTGGATCCTGCTTCAGATGTTCCTAAATACTCTCAAACAAGCAGCATCTGGTCTCAGCAAGCCCCATACCTCTCATTAAGTGGACCCAGGCCTGGCACTAGAAGCAGCCAGCCTTGGTTCACAATGTGGCTTTGCTTAGGCACCCCCAAGACCAGCACAAGAAGCAACCATCTGCAGACTGCTTTGTAGCTTATGTCTGGTTTGTAGCTCAGATAGAACACAGGCAGTGACTGACCTAGCCCCAGAGCCAGCATACCCAGTGGATAGCTTCAGAACTATCCCACCCAACCACCTCCACAAGTAACACACTCAAGGAATGGACTCAGTGGGTACCAGAGCACTGCTGAAGTAAGTCTTGCTCTGTGTGGTGGGCCCCTGCACGGCTGATCATCCAAGGTAGTCAGAGGTTGGTGGATAGTGGGCACAGCCAATCCTTGCAGCTGATCAGCCTAAGTAAAATCCTCTCATTGATGTGCCAACAGCAATCAAGACTCAATTATAACAGAAGGGTATAAAGTCCACACCAGGGGTACACCTCAAGGGCCCAGCTGGGAGACCAGGGAGGCTGTGCCACTGGACCCTATAATACACCTAGTACAATAGGAAGCCCAGGAGACATAGCAACTCTACTTAATACATAGAAACAAACACAGCGAGACAGCCAAAATCAGGACACAAAGAAACATGTCCCAAATGAAAGAACAGAGCAAAACTCCAGGAAAAAAACTAAACAAAATGGAGATAGAGATAAGCAACCAAACAGATGCAGAGTTCAAAACGCTGCTAATAAGGATGCTCAATGAACTTAGTGAGAACTTCAATGAACTTAGTGAGGGCCTCAAGAGCTTAAAAAAGGACCAGTCAGAAATGAAGGGGGCACAGTCATAAATAAAGGAAGCACTAACTAAAAAAAAGAATAATTTACAGAGATTCAATAGTAGAGTAGGTAAAGCCAAGAAGCAAACCATCGATTTGTAATATAAGGAAGCATAAAACACCCAACCAGAACAGCAAAAAGAAAAATGAATTTAAAAAAATGAGGATAGTGTAAGGAGCCTCTGGGACAACTTCAAGTGTGCCAACATTCTCATCTTGGGGCTGCCAGAAGGAGAAGAGAGAGAACAAGAAATCGAAAACCTATTTGAAACAATAATGGCAGAAAACTTCCCTAATGTGGTGAAGGAAACAGACATACATGTCCAGGAAGCACAGAGAGTCCCAAACAAGATGAACTCCAAGAGGCCCACACCAAGACACATCATCATCAAAATGCAAAAGGTTCAAGACAAAGAGAGAATCTTAAAAGCAGCAAGAGAAAAGCAGTTAGTTGCCTACAAGGGAGTTCCCATAAGACTGTCAGCTGATTTCTCAAAAGAAACGTTGGAGGCCAGAAGAGGGTGGCAAGAAATATTTAAAGTGATGAAAAGCATGAACCTACAACCAAGATTACTCTATCCTGCAAAGCTATCATTTAGAATTGAAGGACATATAAAGAGTTTCCCAGACATAAAAAAGCTACAGGGATTCATCACTACCAAACCATCATTATATGAAATGTTGAAGGGTCTTCTTGAAGGAAAAAAGGGTAAAAAATATGAACAAACAAAATGGCAATAAATACATACCTACTGACCATTGAATCTACAAACAAAATGAACAAGCAGAAAAGAAACATTCTCATAGACACAGAGAACATTTTGTTGGTTGCCAGATGGGAATGGGGTAGAGAGAATGGGTGAAAAAGATGAAGGGATTAAGAAATACAAGTTGGTTGTTAGACTGACCAACCTCAAAGGAAAGGGGAGGGTGGTGGGAAGAAATAAACCAAAGAACTTATATGCATAACCAATGGACACAGACAACAGTGTGGGAAAAGGCAGGAGTGGGACGGGAGTGGGGAGGAGGGGAGTTAATAGGGGAAAAAAGAGGAACGTCTGTAATACATTCAACAATAAAAATAATTTTAAAAAAAACATGAATTGAGCCCTGGCCAGTTTGGCTCAGTGGTAAGAGTGCCTGCCCACGGACCGAAGGGTTGAGGGTTCAATTCCTGGTAAAGGAACCAATCAATGTCTCTCTCACATTAATGTTTCTCTCTCTCTTTCCCCTTCTGTCCCTTCCACTCTATCTAAAAATTAATAGAAGTAATCCTCAGATGAGGATTAACCAAAATAACCCCCCATGAATTGAATAATATCATTGTGCTTGCCTCTTTACATTAATTCTCAAAGGGTTGCATACTGGCTTGTGTGGTGTGATGGGAGCTGGGTGGATTTAATCACTGATTTCTATTTGTAAAGTGCTTGAGATTTGGGCAGAATTTTGAAGGAGTAGAAAGATACTCTATCAAAGAGATTAAGTCAGTAGACCTACCAGAAGGAATGGATGTAAAAGGTGGGCATGAACAGGTTCTCAGGTAGAGAAGAACAAGGTCACAATTGGGCTTGAGAAGTCCTGATCTCTGTCCCTAAATACCAAGCAGGGAGACTCTGGAGCTTCATTTCCTCCTCAGCAAATCAGACCTAAAGGATCTTCTGGCTCCAAAGTCCTAAGATGGCATCATTTAAAAAATCTCAGGTGAATATAAAACTGACTCATAGATACAGAGACATTTTGAAGGTTGCCAGAGAGGAGGAAGTTGGGGGATGGATGAAAAAGGTGAAGGGATCAAGAAGTACAAATTGGTAGTAACAGAATAGTCATGGAGATGTAGAGCACAGCCTAGGGGATATAGTCAATAATATTGTAATAACTATTATGTGGTGTCAGATGGGTGCAAGATTTATCTGGGTGATCACTTTATAAGTTATACAAATGTCTAATCATGGGGTTGCACACCTGAAACTAATATAATATTGTACATTAACTATAATTTTAAAATTTTAAAATAAAAATCTCTGGTGATCATGAAAGTGAACAATTTTCTTTGCTCAAGCAAGAGTCAAAACTGTGGCATCTTAGGAAATAACATTCAAGTGAAAGTGATGAGCCAAGTGCAGAGTCAGAAATCCACACAAAAGGAATTTAGGGGCCATTTAAAGTTAGAAAGCAGGAAAATTATATGATTAATCTTTGATGATGTTTGACAATCCTTGAAAATACCTAATAGGAAGCAATCATTCACTGCCCCCATGGTAGAGAGAGTCTAGACATATGATGGCTGAGTGAAGGTCTTCTCAGGTTCATTCTATCTATGCAGCTATACTTCTAATCAACACTAGAACATGATGAACAGTGTCTCCTATGCTGAGCTAAATGGGTCATGCTTCAAATATCTCAGCATTTTCTCAGAAGAAATCAGACTCACAAAATGAAAGTATCCAACCAGGATTTTATTATGTTAATAACCCCACATCGTAACTCCTCTTCCACCTCCACTACACTGCGCTTTCATTGTTTATCAATCTGGGAACAGGGAGGAAGGGCGCAGTCAGGTGAGAACGTTTAAGAAACAAGCAATTTGTGTATGTCTATATGGTTCAGTGATGCTACTGCAAGGGAATATAAAACCAGGCACCAGGCACTGGAAAGAGGGAGACTTTTTCCATTCTCATTTGCCCCCTCGGAGCTGCCGGAAATAGCGGTTATAGGCTGCGTTGTATCCATAAATCATGGCGTAGCGTTCGCAAAGTTTGTGGTCATCACAGGCTTCCCGGTTGAACTCGTAAGGGGGCTTGGTTCGTTCTCGGATCCTACAAAGTGAGGGGGGAAAACAGACCCAGATTGAGAAGTATAAAGAGAATGGAGAAATAAGACAAATGAAAAAAAAAGTATCAGGAAATATTGGAGACTGATCCCATTTACCATAACCCCATAGTAAGAGATATTTGAAGAGCAGAGAGGAGAGGTAGAACAGGAGGAATTTTTAAAACCTTTTTGGGGGACTATTTCAAAAAATGAAAACAGAATTTTTCTTTTCTGTCTTCTCTAGCATCCTCCCTTCCTCTACTTCCTGAATCTTTCACAAATGAATCTTAAAGAAATGCAGTTGTTTTCTGCATATTGTTTTAAAATTCTTTGATTTTGGGACACAATTAGAAATAACATGTATGTTTTAAGAAAGCTGTTTCTCACTCCGTTCTGATCTGGGGTGCTACTCTGGGAAAAACGACCCCCCATCTTCATTACCCACCTCTCTTGAGCTTTAGCTCTCCACCTCTGCTGCGGGGACATGAAGGTATTAGCATGTCTCCTGTTAATGAAGGGACCTTAAAACAGAAATAAATAATTGCAATTTTAGGAAAACAGTGGCTGAAAGTATTTTCATGAGTATTCCCTAACACACATATGTTTTTAAGCTCATTAATTTATGCATTTCAAGTAACAATCGAAGGGCTTAAAGATAAGCATATTTCATAAACTGCCTGATCAAAAGAAATTAATAACCCATATATGTGTCTTTGAGAATAGTCACATTGGCTACTGAAATTTTTGCTTGCTTGTTTTGCCCTTGGGCAATACCCCTTCCCCCCAATGTCAGTATTTCTATTTCAGTGTGTTTTTAAAATTTCTTTAAGGAGAAATCCTCTCTGTCCTGATGACTTGTAAAGCATGTCTTTAGATTACTAGTAAATGAATAGTTTAAACATGATAAAAACAATGAACAAATTCACAATGAACAAATTGAAAACGAGAGTGATATGTTATTTCCTCTTATACTCAGTATTTATAAGTCTAGAAATTCAATGGCATTTAAACAATGTTGATGCTTGTGGTCTCCCAGCTGACTTGGCCTTCAATTCTGTACTCTGCCATTTGTCATTACTCCTTGTTTTCCATCTCTGTGGTTGACGTGGTGCCAACACAAAATTTCCAAATGAGGTTTTATGGCTCCTCAGTATGTTTAATGCAGTTTAAATGCAATATTATACTGCTTCAAGCTTTAAAAAATTGCCCATTTAGCGATTTTTGTAGTCATTGAATTTTAAATGTTTTCAGTTTTCCAAAAGAGGTCCTCTTTTTCCTCCCTGTTATATGTATTACCATTTTGTCTGTTTAAGAACGGGCTGAGATTCTTTAATACATGAGATTTAAATAAGAAAATCAAATATTCACTTACTGATTTCATAGGATTCCATGCTTTCATGAGATTCTGGAATTTAAAAAAAAGTTTCATTTTATTGTTATTTATTGCACATTGCAATAGTCCAAACACAGTGAAAGAGGGAGAGGGGGAGGCAAAAAGATGTGAGGAATATATTTAACAATATGGTCAATACAAATTTCAGGCATTTATAATTTGAGAATTATTTCTCTAGCTGTGTCCTTGCATATGTCTATACTTCAGTTTCTCTGATGTCAAAGAAGCTAGTGAACTCAGCCTTGGTTAAAATTGCCCAAGGGCTCTGGGGTTTTCAGGCTCATGAAGTAAGGCAATGTAAGAGTGGCTCACAAGTCTCCAGAGAGCCATCTTCTCTGATTAATCTGGGCCCTATCTGACAGCAGGGCTGAAGAAGGGACAGGGGGGCTAGGAGACAACTAGGTTTCTCCAGGCAGGCTGGGCAGATAGATCCTCTGCTGGGCTTTACCAAGACAGGCTTCTAGCAGGTTCCAAAAGCCTCTTAAGAACCTGTGTTCAATTGGCAGCCACAGAAACCACTGGCTCCTGCTCACAGCTCACCCTGGGCACAACGCCAGTTCAGAGAAAGAACTGAGATGATGTCCAAGCAGAAATTTTCTTCATTGCACCAGTCTCTTTTTTTCTACCTTCTCAGCACGTAAATTTGGCAATGAGTCTTACATGTGTAAGCAAGTAAGTTTGCTTGAAAAGTTCGAAAAGAGGTAAAGAAACCAAATTCTCTGACACAGAAACCTCATGAATAATTTCAAGAGTCAGAAGCAAAAAAAAAAAAAAACAAACAAAAAAAAACAACAAAAACCAACAACACATGGTTGTTAACATAATTTAGACTTAAGAACAGCTAAAATATCTGGCTCATTGAAGCATAAGATTGGATGATCTAAATAATTTTGCTTCAGATCTCCTTTCGTAAGTTTTCAACAGACAGAGATGAATTTAACAACATCCAGAAACCAGGCACATTTTATCTTTTGACAGTCAAATGAGGAAATCTATTTTTCTCTGAGATCTTTAAATATGAAACTTCCTTTTTTAACTAAGTTACCAGACACATGTAGTAAATTCATGAGATTGTTCTGTCCCTGGAGAGGGCTGCACTTAACACATCCTGTGAAAACTGATGCTTTTAAAAGTAAGTGATTTGACCAATATCTCTGACCTATCGTTACCAAAGTCTAAATAAACATCCTGAAAAATGAGAACTCGGGGGCTGGGAATGTATCTTCTTTTTGAGATCGCAAAGTTTCCAAGTGTACAGTGACTTACCATAGAAAGGAATTGCCTCGTAAGCTGCACACAGGAGTCTGAGTATTTAGGATATAAAAAGGACTGGATGGAACACACATGGGTTTGGGGCTTGGGAAATGTTAAATTAATGGTACTTTAAGATTGCAATAGAGAAAGGGGCAAGAAGAGGAGGAGGGAGAGGAAATAGCAAAATAAACTGAAGTTAGACACAGAAAAGAAAACACAGAGAAATGGCAGGAGAAAAATGTCTTACCATAACTTAAAGCTGCCACGGCCAAGGCCGCCAGAATGGAGAGAAGTAGCAGGCTCTTCATGGTCTCTCCGTGGTCCTGTGGGTGGGTCTCACTGTCTTGCACCGCAGCAGTGGGGAGAGAGGCTGCTACAGGCTGTCCGTGGAAGGCTGTGGGGTTTTTATAAGAACTAGAGTAGCTGAAAGGGGAGGAACCCGTGGGAGGGGGCCAGAGAAGGTGGGGACTGGTTGGAACTAAAGTAGCACTGGACCTTTTCCCAAATATTCATTCCTTCCAGATATTATCTTTTCTGGGTGGGCAGTTTTCCTCATTCCTGGATGTGACTGTGCTATGGCAGGAGGCTGTGCTGGTACAGAAGTCGTGGCTGCCTTAGGTTTGGGGCCAGATCTGGGCAACCGTCCACAGAGAAGGGAGTTGCCACAAACACGTGTTTGCCTTCCTAATTTCTTCTCTGATCTACCCTCCTGGCCCTGACTGTGGGCCTTTCAGGTTTGGTCCCCAAATAGAGCCACAGTGTTTCGCTTGTTCCCGATGGGTGGCTGAGAGGTTCTGGGAAGAAAGGACTTTACTTTCATACTGATTTAATTTAGAGCTATGTTTCCAGTAAGGCTGAACTATCCGTCTGGATTAGTTGAACATTCGCCTGGTGATATGCACCTTTTGTATTTATCAAGTGCTCAGTAGAGTAGAGATGTTCAGTGATCCTATGAATGAGTTCTGTTTCCTCAACTGACTCTGCTATAACTTGCTTGTCTAGTTTTGTGACTTGAGTCTAAACCAGTGCCCTAGTGCTCTCTCAGGCTGGATATCACTGATCCTAGAGTGCATCAAGGATAAGAGGGTACCCATCTCTCATTTTCTGAAGGCATTGTCCTGATAGTTAACAAACTCAATATGCTTTTAGTGAGTGGCTGATGAGATGCAAGGTACTGTGCTAGGTCTGCGGGGGACTCTACAGACAAACACGACACATCCCCAAGGAGGTAAGTAATAGCTGCTTACTATTCACTTTGCACTGTGGCTGTCATGTATCCTCACACACAGATTTTCACAAACACACATGTCCACTATACCCACAGTCCCAGAAGTGCTATTTCTTTTCTTACAAGAGGATTGCAATTTGGTGCCTCTAGTTACACTAGACTGAGCTGTTTTCCTTTTTCTTCCGGAACAATTAGTAAAACTTTTCTATCAGATGTGTCTTTGTTGCCTGGGTACCCAGGAGTCTTCTTAGCCCACAAACAGACTTGAGTCACAGAGCAGCAGATTGCAGAAGAGCTGAAGCTACAGGACCTCTGACTCTTGGGCTGGATCGGCAAAAGGGCTGGAGTCGGGGTGGGTGGGTGTGCTTTTCAGCAATGATTTGTTTCATGGAGCAGTGATGAACAATTAGGTGGAGCCTCATTCTTCTTGTCTTATTGGGATGGACTTTCCCTGCCAACTTCCACCCTTTGTATAAACACTCAAGGATTCCCTGTTAAAAGAAACAATTCATTTGTAATCTGAAGGATTAGTGAGTTTGGGGGGACCAAAACATTTAGGTATTCCTTCCAGATAGTTCATGTTAAGAGATATATTCTTTGTGATAAAATCTTAAAGAAGACCTCAAAAGGAAGACAACGTATGTTCATTACTGATAAGTTCAACCATCATGATTTCCACTCACAAGAGTGGCGGTTGTTCCCCTCCTTAAATCACAAACTTGCTTTCAGTGTTGGTTTCTATGCCCCCTTTCTAGGATATATTATCTAAATCATTATCATCAATAAAAAATTTAAAGTGCAAAAGTCAGTTCACTAATTTCATGGTTTGGGGAAACAAAGTAGCCATGGCTTATATGTATAGCATTTTATATGTAGCCAGTAATCCCCAATTAACATGATATAAAACAAGTTTAGTTCCAATGTTGCCCCCCTAAATGAGTAGGCTACTCACCTCCCACAACCCTATCTCCAGAATTAAAGAGAATTCCCCTTTTTTTCCAGATACAAACACGTGTACATGAACTCAGTCTATTCCAACCAGATTGCAGAGGTCTCTTCTACTCCGATCTTCAAATGGCAACTGGGCTCTGTCAGCCTTCTGACATCCAGTTTATTTTAATACTCGTTGAATACAAACATGAAAGTCTTACACTTACTTTTCCCATTTAAATCTCAGCTTTTTTCATAAGTTGTTTTTTATCATTGCTTCCTAAACTTTTGAGCATTTCTCGTTATCATACTTTTAGTAAGGCTAACACTTTCTGCTGGACGCTGTCTCTCACCAGTCGCTCTTCATTTCTCTCCACTGTTTTCCATCTGTTCCTTCGTTCTTCGATGCTAAATCCTGTTTATATATGCTTCATAAGTATTATTAATAGATGTGAGAATTCAGATACATTAATAATATTTCTTTTCTCTTCTTCCATATTATTCCTAATTTCAAAAACAATTTTGTGAGTGCCAGCTCCAGCTATACCTTTTAACAAGAGAGAAAAAAAAAATAAGGTAGAAGAAAGGTGGACGGGAAGGAATGAGAAGGGCCTTGTATATTTGGTGTGCTGGATGGGAGAGTATTGGGTGGAGATTGAAGTGTAGAGAGAAAAACTTTGAAGCAGCTAGCTGTAGGATGTGAGACATTAAAAGTGAGAAATTGGAAAAAAAATAAGAGTTACTTTGGTTAAAAAAGGAGAAAGATCTGTAACAAAAATAAATAAATTAATCAAAAAAAGAGTTACTTTGGTTATAAATAGGATTTTTTGAGATTGTTAAACGGGATTTGAGAATTGACAGAAATTACTGAAATTGTTTTTTTTTATCCTCACCCGAGGATATTTTTACATTTTTTGTACAGATAGAATGGGAGGGAGAGAGAGAGAGAAACATCAACGTGAAGGGACACATCGAGTGGCTGCCACCCGCACGACCAACCAGGGCCGGGGACAAACTGCAACCGAAGTACGTGCCCTTAGCGGGAACCGAACCCGGGTCTCTCCGGACCGCAGGCCGTCGCTCTAACCGCTGAGCCAAACTGGCCAGGGCTGAAATTGTTTTTAATTAATGTTGGCTGCTAGTTTGTGTTTTCTTTTTTTTTTAAATAATTTTTAATTTATCAATTATAGTTGACATGTATAAATTATATTAATTTCACGTGTACACTTTAGTGATTAGACATTATATAACTTACTAAGTGATCATCCCAATAAATTCTGCACTCATATGACAACATACACAGTTATTCGAATATTATTGACTGTATTCCCAGTGCTGTGATTTATATCCCCATGACTATTCTGTAACAACCGATTTGTACTTCTTAATTCCTTCACCTTTTTTACCCATCCCTCCAACATCCCTCCCATCTGGCAACTGTCAAAATGTTCTCTGTTTCTATGCATCTATTTCTGTCCTACTTGTTCATTTTTTTTTCTAGAGTCAATTGTTGCTAGATATGTATTTATTGCCATTTTATTGTTCATATTTTTATCTCTGCCCCCCCTTCTTCTTAAAAAAGACACTTTATCATTTCATATAATGCTGGTTTGGTTGTAATTAACTCCTTTAGCTTTTTCTTATCTTTGGAGCTCTTTATATGTCCTTTGATTCTAAATGATAGCTTTGCTCGGTAGAGTAATCTTGGTTGTAGGTCCTTGCTTTTCATTACATATTTCCTGCAAATCCCTTTTGGCCAGCAAAGTTTCTGTTGGGAAATCAACTCACAGTCTTATGGGAGCTCCCTTGTAGGTAGTTAACTGCTTTTCTCTTGCTGCTTTTAAGATTCTCTCTTTGTCTTTAATGTTTTGCATTTTCATGGTGATGTGTCTTGGTGTGGGTCTCTTTGAGTTTATCTTGTTTGGGACTCTCTGCTCTTCCTGGACTTGTATATCTAATTCCTTCACCAAGTTAGGAAAGTTTTCTGTGATTATTTTTTCAAATAGTTTTTCAAGTTTTTGCTCTTTCTCTTCTCCTTCCAGGACCTTCATGATGCACATGCTGGTTTGCTTGTTATTGTCCCAGAGGCTCCTTGCACTATATTCATTTTTTAAAATTCTTTTTTCTTTTTGTTGTTCTGATTGGGTGTTTATTGCTTCCTTATAGTCCAAATTGCTGATTTGATTCTTGTCTTCCCCTACTCTGCTTTTGATTCCCTGTAAGTTATTCTTTTTTTTTTTTTTTCAGTTAGTGTGTGCTTTATTTCTTACTGGTCCTTTTTTATGCTGTTGAATTTATGCTAAATTCATTAAGCATCCTTATAACCAGTGTTTTGAACTCTGCATCTAGTAGATTGCTTCTCTCCATTTTGTTTAGTTCTTTTTCTGGAGTTTTGTTCTGTTCTTTCATTTGGGACATGTTTCTTTGTCTCCTCATTTTGGCTGCCTCCCTGTGTTTCCTTGTATTAGGTAGAGCTACTGTGTCTCCAGGCTTGGTAGAGTGGCCTAATGTAGTTGGTTTAGTGGCAAAGCCTCCTTTTACACCCAAACTGGACACTTCAGGTGCTCTCCTGCCTTTCCTTGTGTGGGCTCTGTAGTAGAGCCTTGATTACTGTTGGCATGTCAATGGAAAGGATTTAGTCCCAGACCAATCACCTTCAAGGACTGACTGTAACAACTGACCACCAACCTCTGATCACCATGGAGGATAAATTGTGCAAGACTTACTTCAGTGGGGCTCTGGTGTCCACTGAGTCTGTTCTTGAGTGTGTTGTTTGTGGAATTGGTTGGGTGGTGATGCTTTGGTGTGGTCTGAAACTGTCCATTAGGTGTGCTGGCACTGAGGCCTCCTAAGAGATGCAGGCCAAGGCCAGCCACTGCCAGTATTCTGCCTAGGGCCACCTGGCATGAGCTACAAAGTGATCTGTAGATGGCTGCTTCTTCTGCTGGGCTTGGAGGTGCCCATGAGAGGCCAAGCTGAGAACCAAGGCCAGCTAGAGCTAGTGCCAGGCCTGGGGCCACTTAGTGAGAGGTACAGGACACACTGAGGCCAGATGCTGCTTGTTTGAGAGTTTTAGAAAAATCTGAAGCATGAGCTGAGGCAGGCCATTTGTATGGAAAAGCCACAGGAAATTGCTTGAGTGGGCTTGAAAGTTGGGTGAGGTGGGGCCTCAGGGAAACACCAGGGTGGAGTGAACAGTGATGATCAGGCTGATAGAAACTCATAGATATCATGCCC